CGTGCTCAGGGCTGGGCTCCCCGGCGCTGGCGATGCTGGTCATACTCAAGCTCATCTTGATCTCGGCCACGATCTGGTCGATGTCTTCCTCCTGCTCCTCCAGGTCGCCGTCCCCACGCCGCGGGCGGTAGGGAGACACGCCGTCCGCGTTCCCGTTCGCCTCCGGGGGGTAGTAGTCCGGGTAGCCCTCCTCGCTGGGACAGTAGCGAATGTCCTCCTCCTGGTCCGGCGCCTCGAGGACGGAGGCCTCGTCCTCTGCGATGGGGAGGTGGCCGTCCCGGTAGTCCGGGCCGCCGTCGTCCCCGTGGCCGCGGGCGTGCAGGCCTGCCGAGTCCGTCCACTCCTCCACGGCCTCCTGGCACTCGTCCGTGTCCAGGTGGCGCGCGCCGTGGGGCAGGTAGCCCTCCCCGTTGCAGTCCATGCCCTCCAGGTAGCTGTCGTCCTCGGGGCAGTAACGGATGTAGTAGGTGACACCCTCCTCCTCCTCTGGGAGGCCCTCGTCATAGTCTTCCTCCTCCGACGTGTTGTTCACGTAATCGGAGCTGGAGTCCCCGTCGGGGCTGTGGTCGTGGCAGCCCCGCTCGGGCGGCGGGGGGCTCTCGGGCCGCAGGGCGGCCAGCTCCAGGCGCTGGGGCGCGTACTCCTCCCGGGGCGGCTCTGGGTCCTGGGTCTCGGGCTCCTGGCCGTGGGGCCCGGGGCCCGGGCGCGCCCTGTGGTCCAGCATGCTGCTCGCAGTGCTCTGGCGCTTACGGTTGGCCATGGCAGGTGCTCACGCGGCCATCGTCACGGGGAGACAGCTGCTGCGGGAGGAACAGAGAGGACAGAACAGAGTCAGAGCCCCACGAAGCCGGCGGGACCCGCTGGGGCGTTTCCCTGGAGCCCGGCTAACACACGTCTGTTCAAATAACGTGCCATCCCGCCCCGGCTGACGCATTCGTCAGGAACAGGGCACACCCATGCCAGAGAGAGAGGGGGACATGCAGGCACCGGTGTGGGCCCGACCGTCTTGAAAATGCAGGTGAGCAAGACCAAAGGGCAAAGGGCCAGGTTGTTTCCTCTCCAATACAAACAGCAGCTTCATTTGGAGGGAACGATGAAGACCAACGAGGAGGTGCTCTGCCTCTCCGGAGCCTAAATCCACAGCTCCTTGAAGGCCACCGCTCGCTCCCTGTCCCCAGCGCACTGTCCCGCCCACCCCGGGGCACACGGGCCTCTCCCTCCTCACTGCAAACCAGACGCCACTCACTGGGCGCGAGGTTCCCAGGGACCGCCCAGGCCCAGCACCACGTGGAGCCCTGCGGGCTGCGTAGGGCGAGGGCCCGGGAAGGCCGACGCCCCCAGGGAGGCAGCCACGACTCAGGAGGGTCCGCAGAACTGCAGTGAGCTGGGGCGCGTCGGAGGGGAGGGAGAGAGCCCCTCGACTCAGCCGTAAGAAGGTGGAATCTTGCTACAGGGGGGACGGACCCCGCGGGTATCACGCTAAGTGAAACAAGTCACATGCAAATGGGCAAAAATGATACGATTTCACTCGTATTTGGGTATAAAGTCAACAGGAACAAGTGAACTAACAAAACAAACAAAACCGAACTCACGGACACAGACAACAGAAAGGTGGCC